ACTTTCACATTTAGGAGTGAAATAGTTATGAAGCTATTTCTGTCAATGACCATTAAGTGGACTATTTTCTTGCTTCTCAGAACTGACTTCTGATTATTGCCTGCAAATCTTTGTGACAGGAAACAATGTCTCCAAATTCATCATTCAACAAAGAGAATCACTCCTGGGCATTAATGAATAATCAGACTTCCCCTGTGACTTTGTCTTAGAGCACAGGACCGTAGGAATTTCTTTTGGAACACAACTGTCCTAGGTTGGAAGGGACCTTAAAGATCATCTAGATACAATCCTCCTGCTGTGGGCAGTTGCCAAATTACTTTTAGTTTAGAAAAACTTCTCATTACCTTCGTCCATTTTATCACATTATTTCATATGAGATTTACTAGAAGATGAATGAACTCATTCCCTCATTCTCCATTCCCTTCCAACTCCTCTGCCACCAGCTCATGAGAAACTGTCTTATGGTTGCCATGAAACAACTGATTTGTTTCTGGCCAGTCTGGGAATCTGTTACTACTTTAAGTTCTACAAAATGACACATTCACTAAGGGGCATGTTTTTCCCAAATATAAAAAAGTACGTATGCAATCACTGAACAAAAAGGATCTGAAACCCTATCAGACCATCTTCTAGACAGAAGCAGGCTCAAGTTTACCTAGAATATTTCTCTACTCCTTAAAATTCTTCAGACAGCATTCCACAAACTATCTTCATGTTTTGAGTGTATAATTTGGCCCCATCTATTGTAGTTCTGGCATACTACTGCTGGTGTATTAATGACTGTGTTGATCAGTACTGGGCTTGGGACTCATCCTTGCAGAATTTCAAATGAAAGGCTTTTTAAGTCAGCAGTGAACTACTCACAGCTTGTCTTTCAGTAAGGCTTTCAGCTCAACTTAAATTACTCTTACCTAGACTAGATTTTCCCATCTTAAGGGGAGTTTTATCAGATTCACTGTTTCTGCATGGTGCATGCGAAAATGTAAGAAGCATGCACATACACAAGCATCTGTTCACAGCAGGTTTGGCATGCATACAGGAACTTGGATTACATCAAAAGAGCACACTGCCTTTTAAAAAAACTAGCCTCAAGTGGAAATGAGCACAAATATTTATTTACTGCATGTACTGAGAGTCTACAGATAGTAGCAATGTATATTAAATGACATGTTTTATAAAACTCAAATTTCATCTAACAACATACTGTAAATCTTCACCGGCCTACTAAGCACCAGAAATGTTCCAGGAAGGCAACACAGGTCTCTATACCACAGAGTTAGCATTCAGAGAAAGTGACAGCTTGTCCACAGACTTCCCCTGGATTTGCAGATTGACATACCATTCACACAAAAGAACTGAAGACAATTCCTTGCTTTCCTGAACCATGAGTTTTATGGAATGCTTCTTCTTCCTCCAAAAAACTATGTAAAACTGAGTGGATGACTGTCCTCTGACATATGCCAGATCTAAAGGCTTGTGTTGGACTTCTTTCTGCATTAGCCTTAAGAGCACAAGAAAAGACTGCAGAATGACATTCTTAGGATAAAGAGAAATGAAGAATATAGAAAAGACCAATACTAAAAATCAGAGGTGATTACTTTAACATCATAAGTTTGGAAGTTCACATTTCCTTTTTGGTTTTCTTTCTTTTCCCCACTCAGTCTAGACTGGTACTTGCTGAAAAACTTCAAACTGAAGACACAGCACTACCAGCATCAGAAATAAAAGGACTTACTTAAAAATCTGACTCAGTGAGTGGTAACATCCCAAGAGAAATGTTACCCAAAGTCTTATTGACCCATAGTGCCTAAAACCATAGAATCATAAAACGGTTTGGGTTGAAAAGGACCTCAAAGATCATCTAGTTTCAACTCACCCACTGTGAGCAGAGCCACCAACCACTTGATCAGGATGCCCAGAGCCACATCTAGTCCTGAATATCCAGCCTTAAAACATGCCTGTTTCTTTCACTAGGGACCAGCAATTGAAGAAAGCCTCTCATAATTACTTTTGACTCTCCAGTTGGCTACTTTCATCAGTAACTGCATACAGGAGCATGCTGGAGCAGCATTCACATCCACCTCTCCCACACAGAAGCGAAATGCTCCCTCTCTTCTCTTACTTCTATGTTTGTCCAAATTTGTCTTGCCTAATGGGTGTGCTTAAAGCCATTTTTTATGGCATCCCATCAATTGTCCTGTAGCACACAATATTCAAGACAATATGGGCAGACAGAATAATGCCCAAGGACTTCAAACTATCCATAACTATGCTGCTAAATCTTATGCTCTTATGGATGAAGAAAACAAGAAAACTGATATATATAAAAGTGAGAATGAAATCATTCATCAGAGAAAAAGAGTTCCTAAAAATTAAGAAAACTGAAGAAACCAAAATATGCTATGACTTTGATCAAAGAAAAGTATAGAAAACATTTCTGTATGTGTTTCTGAACTGCAGAGTCCACCTCAACTTCAGTATACTTAAAAGAATTTTCCAGAGTCTACTGCATCTTACAGGTACTTCCAGCCCTCTAAAACATGACATCGTTTTTCATCACTGTTAGTTGAATGGGAGAGGCCACTTTCATCACTGTCACTTCACTTTTCTGTAGTGTTCAGGACAGGAACACACACTGTGACAATTTTCAGCACAGCATGTGTTGTCTGGGTAATGAAAATATGGTTGTTATTTATAGAAATTAGTACTGAGTGGCACAGCCTCTTTTATATTAAATACCTCTAACCTTATGCTCTCATAAGACAAAACAGAAACTGTGCCACACACTGAAATTGGAGACTAAAGAATGAACTGAGCACGTTCTAATAGTCTAATAATAGTCTCTTTACTGAGATGGCTCCCCAGGCTTGGTAGTCTTATAATGCCATGCCATCTCCAAGACCTAACCACCAAAATTTTTTTGCAGCCACAAAAGCCAACAAGTTAAATAGAAGCAGCTGTCATTACAAACCAGATGGCAGAGACACCTATGCGTGATATTGCTCACCGGGTTTTTCAATCTGTAAAGTCACAAGATGCAGACAAATATTGATTAAATTATAAAAAGAGAATCTAGCCAAGGTTAGCTGCCATCTGGAGATCCACACTGGAATTGCATTCTAGATCATTACCTAAGTAAATTGTGGTGTACTCTGAAGGATGCTGCATGAAGTAACATACTATTGTGAAACCAAAGGTGAAACAAAGCCTTAGAATTTTCCTTTGTGACCATCAATGGGGCTGATGGTGCCAGGAACACAAGAACATCCCATAGATGGTTGGTACTTGCAAAAGCAATAGTAAGGACAAGGAAAAGAATAACACCTAAGTGGTTAGGAACATGACCTTAGCCTTGATTTTGTATCTAACTTTGCACAGTACCATGACAGAGCAAAGCTGCAACAGAATATCCAAGCAAAATAGGTGAAACCTTGGCAATTTTCTACATTTGTGTGCATTAACTATAGATTTAATCAAGGAAGCTTTCTTTCTGTTTAAATTTCTTTTTTACTGTGCAGGCTAAGAACACTACACTTATAAAACTCTTGGGAGTGTAACAAGGCGCTGTCTTCACTTAAGCAAACTGTAGGAGCACATTTCTGAAAGACACAAGCCAAGGAAGGGCATGGTAGGCTGACATTCCCTCAGACATTACAACAAAGTTTATTTATGCAGAATCAAAGGAAATGTCAACGGAGGGCTCAGCAATAAAAATGATGACTGAGCTTGACTTCTGACCTCTCTATTTTTTCTGTCTCTAACCCTTCTACTTAACAAACTTCAAACTCAGACTATGATATGGTTACAGAACTACATCCTGCAGTGTTTTGAGTGCAATCAGCATTTTAAGGTGCCGTCTGAATTATGTGAACAGATTATATGAACAAATTCAAATGTAGGTAACATCTGTGATAGACACATGTTCAAACTGTTAGTCATTAGTTGATAAAAAGAAGTTGCTATTATTACTATTCTGTCATTATGTCATGCTGATAGCGTTATATCTTCTCAAACCTGTTAACCATCTGTTGTCATCTGAGGTGCTCTATGGCTTTAGGCAGATATGGTGCTGACACAACTTGTTTGTGCTTTCAAGACAGTGTGAAGACCTGAGAAGGCAAAATACTTTTTGCTTGGCAAACCTATGTTTAACTTTAGAACTCTAGAGTATGCACACTGAATGCTGGAACATGAAATGGCAAACATGTTGCTTCAGTTATTACTGCCATGTATGAAATCACAGTGGATGAGTAACTTAGAGCATATCTGAAGGAACAGATAATTCATACAATGTATTATTCGCCCATAAAGAGAAAAGGTGCCTGTCACAAACATAACATTTCAAACGTATTAAATTCTACATGTTAGAAACACATCTAAAATAAGCATTATACCTAATGGAAAAATATTAATATTAGGTTTATGCAAATAACATGCAGTAGGTAAAATACATGAGCATGATGAACATAGTGCATTAGATGAATTGCTTTGCAAGAGTAGCTTCACCATATTGTGTCTGAAAGTACTTTTTGTGATAGAAACTGGAAGTGCTCATTGGCTACCTTTTTGCATACACCAGGGCAATGAATTCCAGTGTGCTCCACCAAAGCAGTGGGAGAGCTGGCGGTTACTACTTATAACACATGCGATGTCACGTCACGATAATGTTGGACCACGTATATGTTATGATCATGTACCACTCTTGAGGCCAACAAGCAGTTAATTCACAACTTCATTACTTGAGGTCTCAGAAGCTTCATGAGAACTACTTACGGAAATGAAAATTCAACAGGGCTAGGAAGAGGTTCAGAGTTCAGTATTAGCTTTTGCTAAATTCTAAAGTTAGTTCAACTTCAAAAGATGCAAGGAAAGAAAAATTTAGTTAGCAGTAAGAGTTCAAAATTGTTAGTCTGCCTAATTAAATCTCCATAACTCACTTAATAAAATGAAATCAGTGCCTTAGAGTTTGTTTTATTCTGAAGTAAACAAAGTTCACTTACCATGTATTCCATGTTGGAAGCAGGTGGGAATACTTTGCCTCTGACTTGATTATGATAATCAAGAATGGCAATCATGTCATTCTGTGAAATGTAGCGCTTCCGCCTGGCTTTGGGAATTTTTGCTGAGTCCAGATGAGCTGCCAAAGCCGTCTCAATGTCAGTGAAATTATTGTTTGACAGGAGTAGGTCAGTGGAGTTGGGTAACACTAATGCACTTGTTTCGCACAGAATGGAAAATAAGAAAGCACAAATGATTGCAGCTATTACTGTCATCTTGGGGCCAAAGCGGTAAGATAGGCCACAGAGGTTCTCTGCTTTAAGTCAGGGCAGTAGAAAACAGATCTGTAGAAGAGAAGATGTCAAAGATGTGATTCTGTACATCTGGACAGTGGGACAAAGCAAATTGGCAGGCTGTGGTCAGAACGATTCTGTCTGTCAGTTCAGCTATAAAAACAATCCAGTCAGAATATGGGCTGCTGAGCAACTTTCACTAACATATTATCATTAAATGATAATGCCCTTTTACTCCAAACAGCAAATTAAACATCATTGGACTCTGAATAACATGATCAGAGCTAGTCATATTCCTGAAATCGTGACAGTCCATAAACCACACTATAAATTCTTAATGGGGAGACTTCAAGAAAGCTTAACAAATGTTATGCACTGAAAATAAAACATCCATCCCAGGTTGTGCCTGTACTGTATGCATGGATTGCTCTGACAGTGTCATACAGACAAACTAAGAGGCAAAAGAACACACAAAAAGCACAGAAACAGCATTTACATCTTAACTACAGCAAAGTGTAGTGAGCATTAATAAAACTGCATGCAAAGCAAGCTTATTGAGTTGAATAGCTTACCTCTGGATTATACCACAATGAATACACTCTATTGTTCTCCCAGTATGTATAACACTCTCCTATGTGATGATATGGACCTTTGTGAAGGAGTGCCTCTTATTACAAACTCCCAAAGAACAAAACTCTGCTGGTTGTGAAGCTTTCTGGCCACAGGAACTGCTAACAGCTTTTATATGTTACAGTGCATGCTCCACAACAGGCAGCTCCTCTGAAGGTCTGCACTGAGCCAGAGGCAGAGGGGAGGAGTTCTCCGGAGCATGCACACAGCGATTGGGTGGCATCTCCCTAGTGTAGGTGGTTTGGATATCCAGTCACACCCCCGTTTCTATAGCACAAAGAGGCAACTTGCAAGACTCCTTTTTCTTCCGGTACTTCCTACCGTTTTAAAAAATAATAATTTGCTCCTCTCGGTTTTTCCTCATTTTATGAACATCATTCTGGCTTGTCCGATGCTGTTTTCTGCTGCTCTGTGAGCACATGCATCGCAGCCTGCAGCGCAGGGTGCGCTGTTGTCCCACTCCCAGGGAAGGGAACTAGTGCCACACCAATGCCTGTCCTGCCCTGTCCCTCCGTTGCTGAGCACGCACATGCAGTCGTGGCAGTACAAAGCACTCGGGAGATTATGCCTTGTTACCTGACTGTCTACTTGTGGGAAACTACAGCAGAAGCAGCAGGACTGAAAGCTTCCTACATTGCCTGGGAGACATGTGTTTCACATTATCTAGCATATAGCTGGAATTATTTAAGCACAGAATGGTACAGTCACTCACACAGCAGAGCTCAGGGTGTAATGCTGAGGCCACAGTGGAAGCTAGCAGAATAAAGCAGTGATTTTTTTTCTAGAGACGGGGAATGGAAGCACCATGATGTCACCAGACCAGTCAGCAGAGCCAGGAGACCCAGGCAACTTCTGAAATAACACAGGTAAAAATATAATCATACTGTTAATGCAGTGTCATACAGGAGCTAGGAGGGAAAAAGAAAACTGGTTCGGCATTACACAAAAATTATCATGTGCCCAAAAATTTCAGTAGCTCTCTCAGAGAAGCAATATGGGAATTCCGTATGAAGGAAGTGGAGTCCAGTAGTTGGAGCATAGGGCTGGAAGCCAACACTCACGCTCTCCTTTTGGCTCTGCTGCTCGCTCGCTGTGTGGCCTAACCCAAGCCATTTAATCTCTGTGTGCAATCTGTACAATGGTATAACAGCCTTTTACAGACATGTTGTAAGCCTCAAATAACTAGTGTTTGGTAATGTACTTTGTGATGAAAGGTGTTAAATCAGTATAAAGTATCATCATTAGTTATGTTACTATATCTATACTTAGGCTGTCTAAAACTGCTGCTTAGTCTGTAGCTCTGCAAGTATGATTTACATGATTGTACAAGAAGTTTTAACACATCGTCTGTCTTTGCAAGAGTAGATGTTGGACAACTAATTTCATGCAATTTTCTTTCTTCTGAAATAAAGTGCATATTTGCTTATGCTAGCGTCAAGAACTCTCATCCCATTGTTTGAGAACAATGGGAACAATTCTCGTCTCCTTTGAATTGCCACAGGTCCTTTGATTTCAACGAGCTGCAATTATCAAAGGGAAGACTCCAAGTTAGCGCCTCAGAAAGCTCAGAGGGTAAATTTTACTAATTAGTCCCATTTTTGATTGCTATCATTATTTCCTCATACTCACCCCGTGGCAGAATTTAAAGGTTCTTATGACACAAGGCTGTACAGTGTTAGCCACAGAAAATTAGGATGTGCCAGCAAATGTTGTAAAACAGCCCTAACATTCACAGCTGTAAAACTGAGCTGTACTTCCCTAAAAGCAGGCCAACTTATGAGATTTCTTTTATTTCCATTGCTTGTGGTTATTGCCTAATTATTTGTTTCCATGTCTAACAGATCATCAGTACTACTACTTATCAAAATGTAGAAATAAGTGTTATGAGCAATACTAACAAGCACAGTAGCAAAGAACATGTTGCAAATATAAAAGGCCTTAGGACGTGAGAATGCATTAACCCAAGCTTGCCATAGTAACAAGATCTCAAATAAGAAATAGCGACAAATGGAGCAAGAGTAATGGTGACTCTCCACATGATAACTAAGACAACCACACGTGTGTGCATTTAGGTTTCCTGTGAAGGAAATGAATCAATGAATTGTCATGCAGAAAAAATCAGCATAAACCAATGAAGCCTTACTAAGTCAAGTCTTCAAGAAGGTCCACACCAAGGAGAGGAATGGATAAAGTAAGGAAGAAGAGGGATTTAAGCTGTCTGCAAGCTTGTAAGAAGAAAAATGAAATGAGCATAGAACCATCTGCAACATACATGAAAAGATCCATTTTGAGACTCTTGAGTCCTCAGAAAAACTGGAGAGAACAATCGAACAAGTCATACAAGATTATTGTAGTCCAGACACAATTACTGAGACCATGAAACATGTCAAAATATCTTCAACCTAATTAAGAACAAAATGTGCCAACAGAAGCAGCCACATCAGGGTTATTGAGCAGTCTGAATAACAGATAAGGAAATTTTTTTGTATTTAATGAGGAAAGTTACATAGAGAATGAGAAAGAATTTAGAAGAAAGTGAAAAAAACAAAGTCGATTTCTCTTCTAAATTTTTTTTTCTGTTCTAGGAAATGGATTAGATTTTAACTGCTGACTAGGAAAGATCTACTTTTTCACTGATTCTTGTCCATATGTATTAAAAGAAATATACGATACAAAATATTAGCATAAGATCTGGATTTCACCTGGGATATAGGCTGTATAGAAGCATGAGTCAAAGGGAACAGAATTGAAGTTTATGAAACACACCATCTTTATCTTCATTCCTCAACATAATAATGACTCCCAAATGATGGCTCTTGTTCAGTTTTACCTTGATCTGACCTCTGAGTCATCCTGGGAAAGAAGGTAAGTTTCATACTGTTTCTCAAATTAAATAAATAAATAAATAAAAAGGAAAAAAAAGAATTATAGCAGAGAAATCAATTGTCTTCTGATATCAGAAGACAATTGGGCATATAGTAGTTTTCAGTTTAAGATTATAACAACTATATATATGCATCCAGAGAACTACCTGAGCTCCTAAATGATAGCCAAGGGTCTGTGAAGCCTAGAAACTTACTTGGCTCACAAAGGCTGATTTTCTGTTGCCCAAACACAGACTTCCTGGTTAGCTGTGCCTTCCTGAAATACAGATGAAGACATTCATATTGTACCAGACATTTACCCTGGCAGGTTGCTCGAGTAACTCTGTCAATATTACTGACTGCATTGACCACATCTTTCTTGACTACTGTCAACGGTTTACAGGCTGGTAACAATTTACACTTTAACTCCCAGTGTACTACATGATGTTATAATGTGGAATATTGATAACCAAAAATCACTGTAAACTTAAACACTCAGATAATCTATAAGCACTAAAATGCCTTCATCTTGAACTGAATGCCATCCAGCATATCAACATTTATTAGGTCCAAATTCTGTCTAGAAAAAGAGGCTTTAGAGAAAGAATATTGAAAAACAGCAGTATGGACAACTATATTAAACATTTTTCCTGAATTCCCAAACAAGTTTAAAATATATCTTCTGTCAAGTATTAATATATTGTGAGCCTATGCAGGCTTGCAGGGGAGTTGGAGATTCATGATCCTTGAGGTCCCTTCTAACCCTGGCCATTCTATGATTCTGTGATTCTATGGCACAAAAGAGTGAAAAAAAATGGTACCTGGAAGGATCATGAAACAATTTATGCAGCTCAGCTTTGTCTGTTACTCAGGGAAATACACCAACAGTCTAGAAAATAATTAGTAGAAAATGAGGAACAATTGCATATAATTGGAGGAAATGTTAATTACATGTAACAAAAACTTTGCTTTGACAAGAAATTATTGCTGAGTAGAATGGATGGTGAAGTGCTTGCTGTGCCAGGCATAATATCACATTTCTTGGAAATGAGGTAATTAGCACAATGATGCACCGATAAAATCAGTATTCTCACTAGCACATCAGCAGAAACCATTGGCTACAGAGACAAGAAGCAAAGGGGTTAATAATTTGCTAGGCTATGTGTACTTGTCATTCTAGGTACATTTTCCAGAAATTCTTCTGGTTATTGTGTCACATTTCACTACTCTGGGCATTGCTATGGTGTTCTAGAAGTCTTATCACGGCCAGCATAATGAAAACAAATGAATGCATCAGTGCTTAAGTTATTTCGGTAGATAAATTGTACAACAAAACCTCTCAAGCCATCAGTGCAGTAATTGCAATGCTTGCCTTGTGGACTCATTGTGATTAGACAAAAGCTTTTTTTGTGTGTGCTCTCACATCTCATTGATAATATAGTCCTTTACATGGTCAGTTAAGCATTTTTATAATTGAAAATGCAGTTGAAAATTCCAGTATATACCAGTACTAAAAAGGGAAAAATTTCACATACCAAATGCAGAGGCTCATGTTCTGCTTCTGGACTCAAGCATCCTTTTTAGAACTCTGAAGAACAGAGAAGCCAAAAAAATAAAATTTTGGATAGGTGTTCAACATCTGTCATTTGCAAACCAAGTTCTAACTGTAGAACTGTGTAATTATCAACTATTCATATTTCCTTTTTAAATAAAAAGATGTATAGTAACTTGGCACAGTTTTGCATTACAGCTGTGTACATTCTGCAGTATTTTTTTTCTGACATTTCGAGCATTCATCTCTCTCCATATGAGATTTCTGTGAGTAAAAGAACCTTCTAAGTGATGTTTGACCTGAATACCCCCAAATGAACTTTGCTTAAGGAAATTAAATTTAAACCTGAAAGAGTTTCTAAATATTTACTTTGAAGGCAATATGGTCTAATGACCAGGTCACTGTACTGGAAGAAGAAAATATAACATCAATTTCTGGATCAGTTACTGACCTTCTTTGTGACTCCTGGCAATGTAATTTACTTCTTGTAGCTTCAAGCAGGAGTCTAAATCTGTTACTCTGAATGCCCTTCTTTTTTTCTATCTCATTTATTTTTACTAAACAGAAAATGTTTTAATTTAGTAATGTTGCATTTTGTGAATATTGAGATTTTTAACTGATTGTTTTGACAGAAATCTGCTTAGATC